CATAAACTTACATGGGAAACTCACATAAATCATGTATCAGCAAAGTTAAGCTATATGTACATGTAGCTATATATGGGCGCAATTTAAGAGAAACTGTCGCAATTTGATATATTGCGAATGATTTACTTTAGTTTAGTCCAGTCTGTACCTCAGTACGGCTTAATATTTTGGGGTTGCTCATCTCATTTTGAACGGGCATTTATAGCTCAAAAGAAAGTTTTAAGAAGTATGTATGGTATTCCATGTTCAGATAGTTGCAAGCCACTATTTAAGAAATCTAATATTTTAACACTACCTAGCCTTTTAATTTTCCAATTAATGATGCACATTGAGGAAAACAAGCTCAAGTTTGACAGAAATGAGGACATTCACTCACATGATACTAGGGGTAAATCAAATTTTCGACAACCTTTCTCTAGATTAGGTGTATCCCAACATGCACCTGAATATGTTGGAATAAAATGTTACAATAAAATAGTCTCAGTAATAAAATTAACTCTCATCAATTCTGCACATAAAGGTTTTCGCCAAACTGTGTATTCATTTTTAATGGACAACACATTCTACAGTGTTGATGGATTTTTAAATTTTTAACATTTTTGCAATAGTTCTAAATTTGTATTTGTAACTTTTATTTCTTATTTATTTTATTCTAATCACTGTTTTATTTTAATCATGTGTACTCTTGCTATATATTGTATTCTTTTTTACTAAAATTTTGACTAGTCCGATAAGATTTATACATTTTTTTTTGTAAGAATTGTGTAAACTTTGTGGATGAATAAATTCTATCTATCTATCTATCAATGGTATGAGAATATGTGGTAAAAACTGTTTAAAAGAGAACTTAGAAAAACAAACTTTATTATGAAATTGAACATCTACCAATACAAGACCTTAGAGATGATAGAGGTAATCAAAACAACAGAGAAATGAAAAGTGAAAGGAGCAAACTAAAGAAACATGGAGCTTTTGTGATATAATAATAATAATCCTTTATTAAGACTTACCATTTTACATTATTGCCATATCAGACTGACATACTTTAATCCTGATCTTATAAAAACTATAATATAATGCTGTAAAGCACCTAATATTTCAAAAATCTGTAATCAATTCTTAATTCATTATCAGTGTATTTTTTAAAATTCTTCATAATATTAACTTAATATTTACTTAATAACATGTCACATGTTTTCACTCAACTTTTCTATTGGACAGATTCGAATATAGTAATTAATCGGGAGCGCATTTACAGACGTTGAAGCATTAGCCAACTGAACGATATCAGAGATAATATCATATCATGGCGGTTCCGTTACGATTTGGGCAGGTATTTGTACCGAAGCATGTACCATCCAAAAACAAACGATTTCAATAATGTACCTACAAACTGATGCAAGAATCTTGAACATTGGAATACAAATAAAAAAGGTGTAAATTGTCAAACTTATCAAAAAATTTTTTATTTTTGGAATTTTGTTTCGGGGAGTGTAATATTGTTATGTTAAATAATTAAAATTTGTTTAACTATTTACATTGCACAAATTTTGTTTTTGTAAATAAAGCTTTGATGAACTGAACAAATTCTTTTATAGTCCAACTCTGTTCTTTCCTAATGGGCTTTTCTATTATTTTCTTACTTTCTTTTTGATCTATTCTTATTTCTCTAATGTCCTCTGCAAGGTAGCTCACCTTGTTGTTGTTCTTGGGATCGTCTCACTGTCTTTTGAGTTGATTAGGCCATATCAAATGTTACGAATGAACATAAGAACTCTTCCTGTAACGTTACGAATGTAAATAAGGGGGCAGTAAAGAAATTATGAAGCGGAACCTCTAGAAATGGAATGAGAATCGAATAAATGTGCCGATTGTCCTAAGAGGAAAAACCCACAAACTCGGACAAGGGGCTGCAAGCCAAATTGTGGAAAACCGATTTGTAAAGAACATACAAAAACTTTATGTAATTTCTGTTGGGAAATGGGGAGGAAGAATCTTAGTAGATGCATTCATTATCTTTAAATATGTTCATTACCATTAAAACTTTTCATTTATGTATTACCTAATTATATTTGATTTGTGTATTCGTTATTTCTAAGCTTTTTATTTATAATAGTTTCTCACTTTGTTTCGTAAAATTAATAAACATATTTTGGTTTACTAGATTTTCTATTATATGTAAGTTTAAACCATTGTAATTTTAGACATGCTGACATTCATTCTTCCTCGAAATAATTGAAATTCATGTATGTGAGGTGATCGCTCACACACGTGTTACTACGTTAAAATAGAAAACACGTGTAACGGCGGGTTAAATAAAACTTCCATTTTTTATGTAAAATTGTTTTTCCACTTACGTTATTTCATTTGAAAAATTCTAAATCCATTCAATCTACGCTTTATTTTTAAATTTTGATTGTGTGTCTACGGCAGTTTTCTAAAGTTTAGTTTATTTGATTATTAGAATGTATATTGCTTATATATCAGCACTTATTTTACAAAACAGTAAATCATACCAAACTAGTTTTTGGCGGTTGATTTGAAACCAGACAACTCATAACTAAATAAAGAAAAATGGTTTTACAATTGATGGTAACAGGGATCTCGGTATTCTAATTTCATTCTCAGTCATTTATTGTCATCAGCCCATGTGCACTGAATAACTAGCAATGAAACTTCTATTAAAGGACTGCACACATTTTTAGAGATTAATGCCAAATTATACTGGACACATTCCTAAAATAAACACCAGTAACAACATTGATAAAGTCATACATTCCATTTGACTACTTTACAATCAATTGCTTATCTTAGAATTATTTTATTTGAGGCTTTAATAGAAGTAGAGTTTTATCACTGAAATGATACAATAGCTATAGCTACATCGGCAGTGATGTTCTAGAAAGCATGACGTAAGCAAATTCCGTTAGTGTGGCGGCTTATGCGACAATATAATATTCTCTCTTGCATTTTGCACCTTTTCCATTTTGTCATTTTTAGTGTTAGTCTCTATAATCCAGCAAAAAAATAATGAAATCAGTTTTACTAAGAAGCGTGTCAGTAGCGGAGAATTTATTTTTCATTTAGCGTATGACATATTAAGAACACATAATTAAAAGCAATATTTTTATAGAAAAACGTTAAATGGTGTATTACAAATAGTGTTGCCCAAAATAGGTCTTAGTCTTGTATTGCGTTTTTGCAAGACCAAGATCGCCTAATTTTAGCGAGCAAGATTAATTTTAAAGAGCAAGACCAAGACTGACCGTGCAAGATTTCAGTAAGAACAAGACTAAGCCTGCGAGACTCTTGCATCTTGCAGTTAGAACTGAGTGTCGTTTTAACGAGATTTATTGGCGCAGGTTTAGACCAGGTTTATTGGCGCAAGACCAAAACTTTCGTAAGTCTCGTCTTGTTCTTGCATTTGGGCAACACTAATTACAAATGAACATCTAATATATCAATCTAATCTAAAACATGTTCGATCGCATTTTGGAATTCCATCTGTTTAGTATTTCTAGCTGTTCTGTCAATATATTACCCTCTTGATATCTTCACTTTTTTTGTTTGAATTCCTTTTTGCGTTTGTTCAGTTTTTGGGGAAAATTTCTCGTCTCTATTGGCTTACTTAGATATTGTAGTTTTGAAAGTTCTTTATTGATATTTCTTTTTTTCTGCGGTGGACTTTCTTTTCTTCTTTATGTAGTTATTTATATTTCTCCTCTACTTTTCGCGTTTTGTGCCTCTATTGCATCAGTAAATATGCTCTGTTTTTTCTTTCTGTTATAATCTGACATTCTTCGCAAAGCAGTTATTTGTTCTTGTTTATTTACCTTCCATGCCTAGTTATTCTTCAGCTTCATCCTTCATGATGTTTCTGCACCCTTCCCACTGTTTATTTATGTTTTCATGTTTTAGTCTGTTTGTTTGATGTTTAAATTCTCTATTTTTGTTTGTACTTTTGAATCCGCATTTGCTCTTCTTCTGGTGCGGACGTTTATTATATTCGATTGGTGTCTTGAGTCTACAATATCTGTGTATGTCTTTTCGATCGAAGTTAAAATTATACAATCGCTTCCAAAAAAAAACTACTATGAAAAAAAGAAAACATTTTTGAAATTAGAGCATCAAAAATATTTAAAATTTGTTATTTTTCAAGCACCAAAATTTTTCATTCTGTTGGGCTGTGTTATCATTTCTGTTCCATACCATTCGTTGTGTAGTTGCGGCAATATGCTGATTCAGCTGTTAATTCATCTGTTGTGTCTTAATTTTGCTGTCTAAACACATTTCGACATAATTTCAGAACAGTGAATTATTCCGTAATTAAATAGAATTCTCGGTTATTTGACACTCAAGAGAATTAAATTTTTTCAGAAATAAACTTCGAATTTTGATAAATACGTTTCATTCTGTTTACTGCTGCAAACGCAATACGTATAATCAATGCGAGGAGTATTATTTTTATATCAATATGATCCATGACTAGATGTATAACTTTCCAAATAAACACGTTTTGGCATATTTTTAGAAGACATTATGTACATACAGACCAAAAAAACACCTGCGGTTTCTAATACTTTTTCTATTGACAAACTAAATAATTAAATTTCCTTCTGTAATAAAAATAATATACTAATTTGATTATTTTACATATTTAGGTATATAGTCAACTTCCGCTCAGCCGATATTATTATAATCAGAAATATAATATTCTATTGTTACAATGTAAAGTGATCAGCAAGGAAATATATTTTCTTCGCGCCGCTAATGATCCAATTCAAAATTTCCTAGAATTCATGATGGGCACGTGGTTTTGGCTTCATTTCACCTCTTACGGCGTGTGATTTCGAATGAGTAATTTCATTTAATACTTGCCAGACTAGTTGTAATTGAAATTTTGAGGAAACATGGAGGTTTCTTATTGATTGATTGTTTCTATAATATTGTCTATACTCAGTAAAATATCAACAGCTTATAATAAATAATTGTTTCTCCAGATCCAGAATGGGCATCTTACAACATCGGCATCTTCATCTGTACAAGGTGTTCAGGGGTTCACAGAAGTATGGGAGTACACATCAGCAAGGTCAAACATCTGAAACTGGACAGATGGGAGGATTCTCAGGTGGAAAGAATGACAGAAGTGGGAAACACCAAAGCTAAGTTGAAATATGAAGAAAGAGTACCACCATGTTATAGGAGACCGAAGGAGGATGATCCACAGTATGTATTGTTATCTTAAATGCCTAAAATGCTACTAGATAATAATAATAAATAGATTTTTTTTTTAACATTTTAATGTAGTATAATACATCTGAATAGGTCATAGGTAATAATATTTGTAGTAATTTTTAATAGTAGTTCATAAAAAAAATGTATGCCCTATGTGCCGTTAATGAATAAATGACTATGAATTGTTGTAGGGTGTTGATTGAACAATGGATCAGAGCAAAATATCAAAGAGAAGAATTTTGTCACCCTGAAAGGCAGGTTTACACTAGTGGCAACATGCAGGGTTTCCTTATGAAAAGGGGTAAAGAGGACAGCAAATACCAAGCCAGGAAATTTGTGTTATCTGAGGCTGATGATACTCTGAAATATTTTGTTAGAGAAAACAAAGAACCGAAGGCCATACTTCGGATATCAGAATTAAATGTGGTGTTTGCACCCGAGAAAATAGGGTAAGGTGTTTCTGGTTTCAATTTTGTAGGTAGATCGAAATTTCCAATAATATGTTTGGCAACATGTCATTACTATTATAGAAAGAAAGAAAGTAAAATGTAATGGCATGTCTTGCAAAACAGAAAACCAAAAAAGGTATATCAATGGAAGGCAACCATATATACATACATACTTCTGACTATTGGTCATCTTCTTGTTTTTGTTTTCTGTTTTGCGAGACATGCTGCTACATTTTACTTTTATTATTCACTAGCATTATCCTTTCCAAAAAACCTTTTTATTTTATTGAAAACTTACAAAAATAGAGATTGTTTGTTGATACCCCACTAATGTGTCATACATGGACTATTCCTTATTTTAAATCAAGGGGTTGTGTAAATGGATAAGTTCCACACTGTGTATATATATATATATATATATATATATATATATATATATAAACTAATACATATAATATTTTGTTTGTTCTTTACAATTTTGTAAAGGAAATAGCCATTTTATTAGCCAAATTGTATTTATGTAAATCAACCCTCCTTTAGATACCCAAACTCTATGCAGCTGACCTTTTTGAAAGATGGTACTACTCGGCACATATATGTCTACCATGATGATGCAGAAGTAATATCAAATTGGTACATGGCTGTCAGGTGTGCCAAGCTTCACAGATTGCAAGTAGCCTATCCTTCAGCCAGCGAGTGTGACCTGGTTAATTACCTTACTGAAGATTTTGCCAAAGAGGGCTGGTTGTGGAAAACTGGCCCAAGGACCTCAGATGGATTTAAAAAGCGGTGGTTTACACTTGATAACAGGAAGTTGATGTACCATGATGAACCTATGGATGCCTATCCCAAGGGAGAAATATTTTTAGGTAAGTCTCAATAAATAAATATCTATATATTCTTCTTCTTGATGTGCCTATCCTTTACGAATGTTGACGATCATCATGGCAATCTTTTACCATGATGATCGCCAACTTGTTTTCTGCACGTATCTTCGTTCAAGGTCCACGATTCAAGAAAAGGACAGAGAAGACGTAGCATCGCAGCATTCTTCTTTTGTATCAAGAGATAGGTTGTGACTCTTGAAGAAGGCCCCCAATATATATGTAATATGATATTATATAAACGAAAACTCAATCAAAAATGGAGATTTTGTTGAAAGAAATCAACAAGTTTTTAATAAGAACAGCTGTAAAAAATCCAGAACATAAAGGAGGCAGGTCTAATGGGGGTCAGAAGAAAAGAAAATATATTCATAATTCTCTAGGGTTTCTACACTATATTGTGTACTTTCTTTGAATCAAGCCAGGCCGAAAGGATAAGTGAACATCATGGATTTCATACTACTAATTACAGATTTTTTGCCTTTTTTTAGTATTTATTTTCTAAGTAGTTGTAATATTTCATTATAGGACACACTCTAGATGGATATGGCATTCGAATAGGAGTTTCACATGGAGTTAAAGACCAGGGCTTTAGCTTTTCTCTAACAACTCCAGATCGGGTCTATAATCTTTCTGCGAGTACAGAACATGATAGAGACCACTGGATTGAAGTTATCCAAAGAGTGCTGGAAAGACCACTGACCCCTCAAGACTCTGCAAGTAAGTAGCTGCTTAACTAAATTTAATGTACACTTCCTTTTGTTTAGTTACTTTATTGAATGTGATATACATACTGTAAAACGGGGTTACTGTGCACCATAGTTTTTAGTTTCATTTTCTTAGAGTGGATATAACGTTACTCGAAAGATCTGAACTTTCTTTATACTTTTCTACTTTAGTTATACTGCATAATTAATAGATTATCCCAATTTTATTAGTGGTGCAAAGTATACCCTAGAAAAGTCATACATTGCACCACTTGATACTTTAATAATATTTGGCTGCGAAATGCTTGCTGATGCATAGTAATCCTATCTGATTTTAAACTTTGCACCATTTAAATGCAAAAAAATGTTGGTCGGTCCAGTTTTTTTAATATAAACCTACCTACATTTATGAAAGAAGTCTAACGGGAAAGAACATTGCTACATTTTAAAGGAACAAACTTTATTATAAGTACAATAATGAAAATACAAAGTTTGAATCTAATCCCACCACAATTTGTCGCATTCTGGAACAATGTTCTCTTCTGGAAGTTTTCTTGAGAGATTTTAGGCGCCAATTACATTGTCACACGAATACCATATTTTGTCGCGTCTTTCTGGTCATTTCCAAAACTTTAACGATTTTGACATGGCGTTGATCATCGATCGATCTCGCTCATCGTTGGCGAGTTTTTAACTTTTTCGGCAATATTTGTTCCAAGAGAACCTGAGGCGAGTTTTTCATTAGATTCGCTTTCTTCTTTCATCTATTGCAGCTCATTTATTTCATCATCTGATGAATCCCTGCCTAGTGGAAAGGGGTCGTTCAAAGCAATATCGTTCTCTGAATCATCTACGACTTCTGTCTCAATAGCTTGATGAAGTGTGGAAGTAGATGCTTCAGTTAGATCTTCTAAACTAATTTCAGAATGGGCAATACTTTATCCTGCTGAAACATTTATTTTCTTTTTCTTCCCACGTGTCTTGGGTGGCTTCCTTTCTTTTATCTTCTAAATATTGAATAAAAGTATTTTCGGTATTTGACGAATTTGATTTATTATTATTTGTTGTATGACTATCAGTTATCACACTAGATCGCTGTGTTGTTTTTAACCGCTCCAAGAGTGGTGTTATATCACAAGGAACGATACCACATTTCCTAAATCCCGACTTTAATATCTCATCGCTATTCTTTTGTATTTTTTCGATTAATGATCGTAAAAGCGTTGGAAAATGCTGTTTCTCACGTACATTTGATCTACTCCCCACATAAGTTTCCTTACATTCAGATAAAATTTCCCTCCAGGCCTTTTTCATTTTGGCAAATAATGCAACATCTAGCGGTTGTGTAACGTGAGTGCTATTCGGAGGGAAACATATAAAATGAATGTCGTGTTTTTGACACAAATCCAGGACTTCAACATTAATATGAGAAGACAAATTGTCTCCGAAAACGACCTTCTTTCCCTGAATTTTTTTAAGCCTGGGCAATAGAATAGTCTTAAAATCAATGAAAAAACATCACACTACAATAGTAATGGGCGACTTCAATGCCAAAGTTGGCCAGGGAAGAGTGGATGGATATGTGGGGGAATATGGTCTAGGAAATAGAAATGAACGTGGTGATCGTTTGATACAATTTTGCCAGACGGAAGAATTTGTAATAGCTAATACACTTTTTAAGCTACCAAAAAGAAGGTTGTATACATGGAAATCTCCCGGTGATACAACGAATAGAATAATCCGAAATCAAATTGACTTTGTCCTTATTAGACAAAGATTTCGTAATTCTATACTGTCTGCCAAAACTTACCCTGGAGCAGACATCGGTTCAGACCATAACCCCATAGTAGTCACATTACGAACCAAATTAAAACTGGTTAAAAAACCCACACAAAGTAGAATTGATATTAAGAGATTAAGGGAACCACAAACAAAGGAACAAACTGTAAAAACTCTTACTGAAAATATACGTAATGCCCAAGAACTGAATAAAAGTAGCTATAACATTGATCAGAAATGGGAAAATATAAAAGCAGCAATAATTAAAACAGCAAATGAAAACTTAAAACCAAAGAATAGAAAACATAAAGATTGGATGACTGAAGAAATACTACTATTAATGAATGAAAGAAAATCATTCAAAACAAAAAATCCAATTAAATATAATGAAACTGATCGATTAATAAAAAAGAGAATAAAAGAAGCTAAGGAGAGAATGTTACATGAGCAGTGCCAAGAACTAGAAGAAATTGAGAAAAAATATGACTTTTTTAACATGCATAAAAGAATTAGAGAATTAACAGGAATGAGAAAAACACTTCAAACTAGGCAACTAAGAGATGAAAGGGGTGCACTTATAACAGATATAAACCAAAAAATGCAGAGATGGACACAATATATAGCACAACTATTTGAAGACAAAGAGAGAACAGAAGCACCAAAAGAATTTAAGGATGATACAGGGCCTGACATTATAGGAGAAGAAATTGAATATGCAATGAAACAAGCTAAAGATGGTAAATCTCCCGGGCTTGATGAAGTTCCTATCGAATTACTTAAAATTGTGAATACTGAATTTATTGATCTTCTTTTGGATCTATTCAATACCATATATAGAACAGGTATAATACCTAAAGAATGGCTCCAATCAACATTCATACTGCTTCCCAAAAAAGCCAATGCAAAGGAGTGCAATGAACATCGCACCATAGCCTTAATGAGTCATGTCTTGAAATTGTTTTTAAAAGTAATTCACAATAGAATACATAAGAAATTAGATGAAGGCATAAGTAATACACAAATGGGATTTAGGAAAGGACTGGGAACACGAGATGCACTGTTTGCAATAAGTGTTCTTTCGCAGAGATGCTTAGATATTAATCAGGAAGTATATGCCTGTTTCATTGATTTTGAGAAGGCATTTGACAGAGTGCAACATAATCGACTTAAAGAAATTTTATTAAATAAAAACATAGACAGTAGAGACATTAGAATCATCTGTAACCTCTATTGGAATCAAACAGCAAAAGTGAAAGTTGAAAACGAACTGACCAAGGATATCCAGATTCGCCGTGGGGTCCGCCAAGGGTGTATTTTATCACCCTTGTTATTCAATTTATACAGTGAAGCCATCTCAGAATTAGCGCTTGCCGAGATCAGTGAGGGCCTTATAATAAACGGTGAGCCACTTAATAACATAAGATATGCTGACAACACCGTCCTTTTGGCAGGAACACTAGAAGAACTGCAACACCTTGCTGAACAACTAAATATATATTGCGACGATTATGGACTAAAAATCAATTTGAAGAAAACCAAGTTCATGGTATTTACAAAAGCACAAAACATCAAAGTTAAGCTAGTACTAGACAATACAGAAATTGAACAAATATCTTCGTACAAATACCTTGGAGCATGGATCACAGAAGATACTTATCAGACAAAAGAAATAAGATGCCGCATTGAAATTGCGCGGTCAACTTTTAATAGAATGAGAAAACTTTTTTGTAATCGCGATATCAATATATCGCTCCGGATAAGAATGCTTCGATGTTATATTTTCTCTACCCTTTTATATGGAGTTGAAGCTTGGACACTTAAAAAATCCAACATTAAAAACCTAGAAGCATTCGAAATGTGGTGTTACCGACGCATTTTGAAAATATCATGGATGGATCGCAAAACAAACGAACAAGTTCTCGAACAACTAGGAAAACAATGCGAAGTTTTAAATTCCATAAAGATCAGGAAATTGGAATACTTGGGGCACATCATCAGAGGTGAAAAGTACGAACTACTAAGGAATATAATGCAGGGTAAAATCAAAGGTAGAAGAAGCGTAGGAAGACGTAAAATCTCGTGGCTACGCAATCTCCGTGAGTGGTTTGGATGCAGTTCAATTGAACTATTCAGGCGAGTAACCAATAAAATTATAATTGCCAGAATGATTTCCAATCTCCGATAGGAGTGGAACTTAAAGAAGAAGAAGAATAGAATAGTGTTAAACCAATTTGCAAATGTCTGTGATTCGAACCAACCAGATGCAGTATTTCTATAACGCGTACCAAAGGGGCCATTTTCAGTCCAGGTATCCCACAAATGCTTGGATTTGTACACCACATAAGGAGGTAGTAGCTCACCAGTTGCATTTCCACACATCAAAAGAGAAATACTACTTTTTAAAGAATTACAAATTCGTCCAGGATATTTAACCCCACGTTTAGTTAATACCTTTTTTTGTCCGGGATCATCTGTTCAGTTCGTCTCGCCATAATTAAAAATAGCATGTGGCTCCACACCAGTTAATATTTGTTTTAAATTTTGTATGTATTCAGCCATTTGGTCTGCATTGAGTGCTGCTCTACTTCTTTTTATGTTTGAGGCTATCCTTGCAGTAGGGTCCTTATGACGACTTGAAAATGATTTGACCCAATCCATACCAGGAGTATTATCCTTAAAGCCAGTTATTTTTTTCCTTGGCGATTTAAATGAGTCTTGATTATTTGTCATATTTCCATTCCAGTAACAGGAAATCCAGCATCACTAAGGCTATGAATGCATTGTACGAAGCACCTTTCCTCTTCATAAGAGAATATTGATGAGTATCCAGGTTTTCCAGCGTGTACTCCTTTTAATTTGTAAAAAATAGTTATCCTTGGGATGTTAAAGGATTCAGCGGCAACTCTTGTACTCATGCCATCTTTTATTGCTGACAGACATGCTTTCAAATCTTCTGAGTAGTCTGCATATTTGCGAGATACCAGTTTCCTTTTATAACGTCTGGGCATTTTGTAAAAACCATTTTCCTTTTAACCTTTTACTCTTGGGAATACTTTGCGCCACTTGCAAATTGGCGGTGCAAAGTATACCCAATTTCACGTCTTAAGTGCACATGTAAACAGTGTTTTTTTTTGTTATTGATATCCTGGTTTAAAACCGTTATTTTAACAACTAAAAATCGCAATTTATTGTATATGCCATTAGACGTGTACTTACCAATTTGTGTCCGTTGGGACTGTCTGCACAGTATGATTTTGCAAAGTTAGAAAATAATAGATTTTCGAGGCTAATATTCTAATTGCTGATAGATAACTGGCGACCGCAGACAATTGCGCGCATCTTACTCACGTATTGCGATGTTGCCTATGTGCTTTAGAGGTAGTACAAATATATAAACAAAATTGAGCGTAGTTTTACAGAAAATATACTTTTACATGTTTGGTGCAAAGTAACCCCGTTTTACGGTATATATATATATATATATATATATATATATATATATATATATATATATATATATATATATATATATATATATATATATATATTTGAAATCTATGATAGTTTGATAATGGTGTTTATTTTTTAGTATCCGGGCGGCTAATAAGGAAGAGAGCAAACACCAACTCGATCAACATATTTTCCCAAAGGTAGTTAAGATGAAAAAAACGAACAATTGATGTTTCTATCGACCTAGTCTTATAGTTATACTTATCGATAACCGCGTATATCAAGTAATATACAACCATCTCCTAAATACTCATAATAGAAGTAACCCTATTCTTAATTTTTAAGAAAGGATTTTTATTATTTATCCTTAAAGCGACTTTACATTCTGCATTTTTTTTTTGAGCAATACATAGTGCTTCCTTTTAATATAGTTTACGTTGATATAATCTAAGCAACAAAATAGAAACGAGAATGACAGTTGACTGACTAGTATGTATCATTTCATGTATTTCCATTTTGTCTAAACAAAATATGTAACTTTGATGTAGAGTCTAAAGATTTAGGTTAAGCACTTTATTCAATGTGCTGTAATGTAAAATGGCTTTAAGTAATTTTTTTGAAGAATGTTACAAATTGTACCCTGATGAAGTTGTTAATTCAAACTTGTGCATGAAACTTATAGATTTCTTGGCCTTTTTAAGCATGACATGACATGATAAAAAGTGTCTAGAAAACACTTACAAGAAAGAAGAACCTTTTGGTGGAGATGGTGACCAAAGGTTCGATTTTCACAACAGTCATAGTGAAACATTCAACAGATTCGTAAAATTATGACGTGGAAATACCAAGAAGAAACAATAATTGAGTTTTTGAACAAACTATTCTTATTTACCTTTACTACAAATCTTGGAATTCGTCATCTTATATCTGTCAGTTAATCTTAAAAAGGTCTAAATGTTTCTATAATAGTGCTTATGGAAAAATATCTCTTTGAACAGCGAATTGAATATTTCGTGTATAAAATAAAATCCTCAATTATTTCGAGCTTTATGTGTAGTATTACACAAAAATGTTGTATAACACTAATTTTTTTTTCGAAATCAGAATAAGTAGTAGTATAGACTTGGTGATGTAGTGATGATTTATTATATATATATATATATATATATATATATATATATATATATATATATATATATATATATATATATATATAATCTGATACATAGTTCTAATATGATGTCTTGTTCATGTTCCTTTTTAGTAGTTGAAAATTATATAATGGTAAAAATAGTTATGTAATAGTATCAAATTCCATAATTGGGTTTAAATATCCTGATCAGAAAATAGTTTAAACCGATATCATTTGAAAACTATTTTGGTAATATTTGTTTTTGTCGAAATATTCAGTTCAATGTGTCAAATGTTCACAGTGTATGAAAATTAAGAATAATTGATATAATGATTTAGCATTAATTGGAAATGTATTGATTTTATAATAATCAAAAAACTCATATGATAGTAATGTGTGGTAAGCAATTCATGTAGTTTAAAAAGATTTCCAAATAATTATTCATATTGAACATTTTTTTGAACGTTTCGCGGATAAAAATTGAAGTGAAAGTAGTAGTCCTGATCTTTTTACACTTATTAATTGTTACAATAGTACAGCTTAAGGAAGTACCTAAAGAATTTTAAGACTTGACATATATACCACTTAATATTACATGACTAAATGCGCATCGGTACATAAATGTGAAGTTTCAAAATTCTAAATTGGAATGCAGAGAATAATCCTTGATAACAATTACTAAGGTTAATTTATACCATTAACCCTCTACTGCATGAATTATGTTTTAGGTAGAAAAATTTTTTTTTACAAAATTTAGATTGTGTTGCTATAAAGAAGTATATATACCAAAGAATTTACAACAATTTTCTACTAATTAGGAAAATAAAAAAAAAATAAGCCATATATGGCTTCCTATACAATAAACCTAAAATGTACAAAAATAGACAGGTCCAAATATGGCTTCTTATGCACTTAGATATGCACAACTAGTTATTGTTTTTAGGAGTGAAATTCTACGAAACAATTTCTATCTTTGTTTAAACATAACAATACGTTACATTTAGTACATCTAACAAAATATCTAAATTTGCCGTCATTATAGCACAAAAATCTTGTATCGTTCCACTGGGGAAAGTGGCCAATGGCGTCTATACGAACTTCATTGCTTGGATAATCTTGACGCAAAGTAAGCCGCTTTTTGGATTTGGGAGTTTCTGTTTCAGTTATGGCGCTGCTCGGTGAATTAACATTTGATAATGGTCGACCCCTTTTCTTTGGCAAACTGTTCTTGTCCACCTTGCATAAATGTTCTGCAATATATTGTTTGAAGTCAAATAATGGCATATAATGTACACTCTTTTGACGCCACAGGATCATGCATTCGCAATGCACATGTCCAACAGGTGAAAAAATATTTTCGTGTACCATTTTTTTGAACGTAACTGAATCCTGTAGAACCCTAGCATGGAATCCAATAGATCAACTCCTCCCATATGCTTTTTATAAACATCTATTGATTTAGGACAAGGAATTTCACGATGGTCTTTGATTTCTCGAAAATAGCGCTCTCTGGAAGCAATAGGAGAACTACCTACGTATGTTGAGAGCATAGTAACTAGTTTGTTGTCGTACCAACAAACACGAGAGATTTCTACTCCATCTATAACATCAGTTTTCTCTACCATATTACCTCGACCATGTTTAACTCTTTTGGTGTAGGCAGTTGGCAGTTTGCTACTCTGTTAATGCTCTCTTTCCCTAAGGGCAGCAAACCATTTTGTGAAAGATTAACTTGTAGGTTAGGGATGTTGAACCAATTATCAAAACATACTCTATGATTTTTGTGCCGTGGGATTGTACTAGTTAATTTTGTAACTATATTTCCACTTGCTCCAAGATCTGGTGCACCATCAGGTATAACATTACTTTGCTTTCCAGCAAATATATCAAAATCGTAGCTGAAACCTGAAACTCCACTAAGTACCAAATTTTTGAATCCCCATTTCTTGGGTTTCTTAGGATTGTATTGTTTTAGACTGTGTCTTATTTTAGTAGGTATGATTCTCATCAATACTCATCATTCTCGTCAATAGAGAGATACTCTTCTTTAGGAACTAATAATAATTGTTCACGTATGTTCTCTACGAGAGGTCTTATTTTAAAAAGTTTATCGTGACCGGATAAACCAGCTCGTATAAACTTATTGTTGTCATTGAAATGTAAACATTTTTTAATCTCTTCCCACCGATTACAACTCATAGTTTCGTGCACAAGTCATTGGTTTAAACGTGAGTTCCAGTAGAATCTACTAGAAGGTAATTTTAAAATTGACATAAATACGCTGATTCCAATAAATTGTTCAATTTTATACTTCGTAATGTTACCTGGTTTGTTAACTACAAATTAACTCCAATAAGTCGTCATTAAATAAGAATTTTAAAAAGTCTATAGAACTCTCCAATCTTTGCATTCATTCTGGCCATTCAGATTCTCCCAAGAAAGCATAATCATTTTCATAATAACTCTTCAATTTTCATTCCTTCCATAATGTTTTCTCTTTTCTGTTTTTAGATGTAGATATTGATTTATTTTGTCTGCTGGTTTGAGTCCTATTGAGGTAGTTGCTCTTACATCGTCAACTTCTGATTCGGCATCAGATGTCTTTATGTCAGAATAATCAGTTTCAGATACTACTACGGACTGAAGACGTTGTTTTGTAGACGAAGAAGGTAAATATTCTTCGTCTGAATCAGTATAACCATCGTCGCTTAATCCTATATCACTGGGAATAGTGTTCACATATTTGGAACTGCGATAAAACCTTTGGTTCTTTTTTCTCTGACAAACTCTAGTAAATAATCACTAAATATCATCTAACTTATAAAGAACAAACACCAATTAGACATGAAATAATAAAAAAAATTGATTACTTGTAAAACGCCGATGTTTGAAGATACATTTTTCACTTGTTCTAAAAAATCGCAATGCATAGCACGTTGTAACCAAAATGATAGGGTTGACTTGTCTAGCAGAGTTGCCAGATTTTAAAAATATATAGAGGTTTCCAAACAAATGTACGGTTCACGTTATGCTATGCCTGCGTATGTGCTGAACTTTAAACTTACAAAAAAAAAATAGTAAACTACCGAATCAATATATGGATTTCCATGCGGTAGAGTGTTGACAAACTGAAAATCTAATATCTAAAAGATATTTTCAACTATTTTTCAAAAAACTATATTTATATAGTTTTCTTATAAAACATTGGAATACTTACGTTTACTTCAATTCATTATTTAATCGCGTGCTTTTACTGAGAGCTAAAGTATCACGTAATATTGTATATACGAATATTAAATTACAGAAAACAGCTAGTGGTACAAATATGTACCATTAATCTAAAAAGAGTTAAACTATTAAATATGATATACTATTAAAGATAGTGTAATTAATATATTAAAGATTATTATGTCTTCTCATATATTTTGTACTGTTTATCACACATTCCTAGCCTTTTATGTATATTTTTCGGATGTAAAAATTTAATCATAAAACATATCTCGATATGATTTTTGTGTTTACAAAACAACGCATGAGGACAAGTTTATTGTAAAAACCTAGTTATTCTAGCTAGCACTTTTCTTGACTTTTAAATTAATATTAATAAGTATTATACTATTTCTGTGAAGTAAGCTGTAAGAAACAAGAACTTTTTGACATACATTTTTTATTGATTCAATGTAGCGAACTGGGACAAAATACAATACGCACAGACAAATTTTATATGACTTTATTATATAAATTTACACATTTATTTACACTGAATTACACATCATGGCTTGAAATAAAAGAGAGCATGTATTATTTCAACTAGTTTATAGAATTGGCCGTTTCCTCGTAAATATGTTGGACCCCAACAAATTTTACGTTGTCATTTTCGCACATACTGCTGTGTTGCTAGGATAGTAAAGAATGTAGGCAATTCTGAAATAATGAACATGTATGAATGAATGAAAAGACACAAGTTCCTTAAAACGTCTATTGAATTGTTTGACGTTTTATTGATAAAAGTACAATTTCATAATATGTTACGTATGTTTATATTAAACAAAACTGTAATATTAATAAAAATACCTTGGCAACTCTGTAAACTGTAATGAAAGTTCCTAACCGTTATTTGCACTCCATAAATTAAACTTCAGTTGGCCTTTGAATGAAGTTTAATGTAAATAACTGTTTTTTAGTACTGC